GTGATTGGTGGGCGTTTGAGCTTACCGAGGAGAATTGAACTGGATTTATGAATTAGAACCACAACATCTTTTTGTTTCGGTTGGGTGGGTGGGTTTTGGTTTTGTTTTTTGTTTTCTATTTTTTTTAAAAGGATTTATTTAAGAATTAAGTACCCTGAAGTAACAACACTGTGTGCCTATGGAGGAACCACAGCAGAGCTGCCGTAACTCCCGACACAGGTATTTATCCAGCAGCCACAGTCTGACTACAGTGGGGGTTTTTTTTTGGCTTTGTGCTAGTTTGCAGTTTTAACACTTTTTTTTCAATGTCATTCGAGCAGTGCAGGAGAAGGAAAATTAACCTGTGGCCATGTTTTTGTACTACACGCCCGAGTAACAGTTATGTCAAACAAAAATTACTATTCCCCCTTCCCTAAAATACAAAATTCCCCATTAAGTTTCACATATATGTTAAGAGGACGAAGCCGGACAGGTTTGGAGCTATTTTATACTTAAAAAATAAAGATACAGCAGTCTAAAAATCTTATATCCAAAGGTATAAAAGTTATACCTGACATCTTGGATACTGACTAAAAGAAAAAGGATTTTTTTTTTTCTGCCTGTAGTTGAACTGAATAATCAAATAGTTGTGGAGATACAAAGTAAGAGGTGTTCCTGTTCAGACGTCTGCTAAAAACTCTTCGCTTCACTCGCACATAGAAGACAGCGACCTGTAGCACATGAATGTGCTACAAATCGGATGCAGACAGACATTGCAATTGTAAGCGATTTGCAAGCGATTTGCTGCAGATCAACAAGTGACTTCTGCGAAGCTGATCGAGTTAGCGGGGTCCCTGCTCACTGCAGGGGGGTTGGACTAGATGACCTCTAGGGGTCCCTTCCAACCCAAAACATTCTATGATTCTATGATCACTTTTGTGGTCCTAACTTTTCGGCAATATGAAGTGGAATATGGTGGCTTAAGCCACCGTGCTGAGGGTTAATACCGCTTTCCTCAGCTGAAACTGTGCAAAACTCCTTTTTTTTCCTCCTTCTTTGGATTAGGAATTAACAGAAGTGCTTGCAATAAGGTTCTTTGGGAGCGATGCCCAGGTGAAAAGCAGTAGGACGCTGTGTGGCCTGTGGAGAGGTTAATGAGCGTTATCTATAACGTGTATCAGTGATCAGTAACGCCCGAGATGCTCTGCCAGGCCAGGCAGTGTTTGTGGGAAGCACTGGACGCCTGCAATCCCTGCTCAGCTGCATGTGTTTGCGTGGATTGAGACATGCAGACCTATATATTTGAGCTTAGATCTATGGTGTTTTCCCCTAAAGTAAAACTGACCATTCCTACTTTCAAAGCCCAAACCAAGAAAAAAGCATTATAAATAGCAGAAAGTGAAATGCATTTTTTTCCCCTCTCACTTTTAATTAATTGTAGGCTTCAGAGACAGCTGATTTTTCTATGTGGTTATTTTCTCGAAGCATTCCTGTTAAATGGTTTGGGGCTATTCTTTCAAACGTGTCAATTGTTAAGGAAGAGCAGGCTAGGTTATAAATGGTTAGAAAAAATACATCAAATTGTAAATTAAATTATTGCTTTAATGTAGAAATAACTGCTGAGTCTGTGGTAACCCGTTAATGATGGTGAGTTAGTTGTGCATCTCAAATGATCTGAAATACTGCGAGATTCCTGTTTAGTCACAAAGAATTTTGACCTGACTTCTTTTTTAGCAGGCCTGCCGCGCTGTTGGAAAATTGAGCTGGGGAAAAATATCTAACCCCTTATGTAATGAAGCTTGCAACTAATATGCCATTAAGTCACGCGCTGCCTGCTGTTGCTGTTTGCCGGCTAAAACAACGGGCCTTGAGTATTTCAGGATGCTTGTTCAGAATGATGCTCCTTGGGCAGACCACCAGACCGGGGCTGCTCTTGTTTGGACCCTGTACAAAAGACGGAGATGGTGAGAGTACTTGAAATGTTGCCTGGGAGATGTTATAGCCGTGAAATGCAGCATTACAATGAGCATATTGCCACCACATGGCTATTTCTGCTACCTGCACCCGTGCCTACTAAGCCAAAACGTACTTTCTGCACCTGCACTGTACTGGTGTGGAAGTCCTAATGGATAATCTCTTTGGGGCTTAACTTCAAGATTCTCCTCAAAGGATTTAGACAGGACAGAAATGGGACACGAGTGCAGAGAGCTTGGCTTGCAAATGCTTTGCAGGAACGTGAAACTTTTCTGGGACTGAAGGGGTCTGGCTTGGGGTGTGGATGATTGGCTTTGGATGAGATGGCCCACTGTGTGATGGGAGGGGCACAACTGCTCTTGAGCAGAGTGTTCTGGCACTGGAGGGATGGGTAACTTCTTGGAGCTGAAAAACTGGGAGGGGGATGCCATGGAATCTTGTCTGACGCAGGAGAGGAAAGGGTTTCCTTGCAACGTGTATTCCTTTCCCTCTTGCAGGATCCCAGCAGTCCAAGCCTGTCTCCTGGGCCCACCATGCCCAGCTAGCCACAGGCAAACCATTCGCTCCCTAGAAGCCATTTTGCCTTTCCTGATTCTTAGGGAAATCCTCATTGCGTAGGTGGATGAATGTTAGTTCTTTGCAAGTATCATCCCAGAAGAGCAGCCAGAGCTGCAGAAGATCATCAAAACCTTGCAGTGGATGTTGTCCAGGCTGTTTGGAGAGGTGGGTCAATCAGTACGGTACCACATGGGGGTTGTACATGGAGGAAAAGTGAGATGGCTTCTGTGTGTAAGGCTTTACACAGGTGATGGTGATTTGGGTACTGATGTACTACTGTCGACTGCAAGTGAGAGGACAGTGTTGGCCTTTCCAGAGTAGGTTGTAATCAAAGAAGTGAAGGTTTGGGGGACAGCTTTGAACCACATGTTTCGCAAGGATGTTTGGCCCTAACCTAATGCAAGATAGACTCCCCAGGTCAGAGGTGAGGAGCCTCAGCACTAGACATTTCCGTCTGCTAGCCCATTTTTGTTGCACCAAATTAATTACTAGTGTGGACGGTCCTACCACCTTGGGAACTCCAGAACTTCCTGGACTGTGGCGTCTTCCCAGTAAGCGTGAAGATTGAAGACCTTACTACAAATCTATCTGGAAGCACAGGGATGAGGTATAGCGCAGGTCTGAGGGGAAAAAAAAGATCATGTTCTTGCTATAGAGATCATTCTGAGCGAGAAGAAACTAGCTGCAGCCACCATTTTAGCACTTGGTATTTGCTCGCTGTGACTCTAAAATGATGGAGAACACAGTGCGGCCAGGCAGCACAGGATGCATAGCTGTGTGAAAGGGCAGCTGAAGGCCACCAAAATAATTTGGAGCAGATTTGATGGCACTAACATTACTGTGATTACCGATTCCAACAGGAGGGAAAACATCAGAGGTGTTCAGCTGTGTTCAAGGGTTGCATTAATATGGTCTGATTTACAGCCAAGTAAACCACCTGCTGAGATAGGTCTTTGCAGTGTAAGAATTGTAATTCCAGGTTCATTTTTCTTAGTTTGCTTAATATTCTTGATAACTACCAGTTGCTATGGAGTTATGGTGCACCATGAGCCTTTTCTGCCTGTTTATTAGCCAACTGCAAACACCCTTAAAATCTCGTGCAAAACCAGCAACGCAGAGGACCAACACACAGAGCTGAAAATGGTATGTTTCTTGGACTTTTTTGTAAGACTTCTATCCCTTTTTTTAATGACCAATGTTTCAGGCATGCAGTGCAGTTATGGAGAGTTAGTTACTGAATATCAAGCAAACTCTGGGAATTGTCTCGGTATGTTGCTTCAGCCAGGGCAACATGATGCTACCAGGCAGCAGCTCACAGGACAGGAGGGTTGTGATGCAAAAGAGTGGATTTTTAGGAGTAAAAGTCATTTGTTAGTGAAGTTACCTAGACTGAAAGATCGGGGGGGAGGGGAAATATGGGGCGTTTGTATATCAAAGGTAAAAAAGTCACTTGGAAATTGCTGTTGCATTTAATAGGAAAAAAACCATTGGAGGACAAAAAGCACACGGGCGGGTGAGTATTGCCAAAAGTCAGACAGAGTTTGAGGTAACTGGCCAACAGCAGCAGTTGCCAGTTCATTGCATTTTTGGTTTTAGTTTGGTTTCAGACTGATTGGAGCCAGACCCAATATTTTCCTTCCATTTCTGGTACATCTGAAGTTCCTCTGATCCTTTTCATCTAGATCAGGGTTCTTGTTAGCATTTGTACTCA